TCTGTTCAGAATGGAGCCAGAGCTCGACAGCCCCCACCTCATCTCACAGGGGGCAAAGTCTACAAGGTGTGCCCCCACCAGGTAAGAGGATGACGAGGAACTCGGGGTGAATGTCAGTTTACCCACACAGAGGAGCTGGCACTCAGGTCGCTGGGCCGCTGTGGAACAGCTCCTTCTGGTCATCACCAGTGAGTAGTAAACGCCTCTTTGTGTGCTGGCCTCTGCATCAGTGGTGGAGAGTACAAGGGTGAGCAGCAAAGACATCACTCCTCAGTGCTCTCGTATTGAGAAATAAAGTCGTCATGGCTGTGGCGACAGCTGGTAAAGAATCTGCCTGCAATGCGGGAGGCCTGGGTTCAATCTCTGGGTTGGGAATATCCCCTGGAGAAGGGAAAGGCTACCCACTCCAGTATTCTGGCCTAGAGAATCCCATGGACTATACAGTCCATAGGGTTGCAAAGAGTTGGACAGCAACTTTTTCATGGCTTGTGGCAATGGCTCTGCAGGAACTAGACAAGGATCAGAGATGCGGGGCAGCCAGAGGAGGCCGAGAGCCCCATGTGAGCTGGGGAAGGGGTGTGACCACTGTCCTGAGAGGGGAGCCTAGTGAGTGGCGGAGGGGGGTGGGAGGGGTCTCTGGAGGCCAGATCATGTAGCACTTTGTGGGCCAGAGGAACAGTTTGGATTTCTTCCAAGAGTGGTGAGGGGCCCTTTGGATGGTTTGAATGGGAAATGGTCTGATTTGGGTTCTCAGAAGATCACTCCTTAGGTCTTTAGAGAGTGGGCCTAGGGTATGTGGCTGTCAGGATAGCTCTGGGAAGGTTGTGCCATTCATCCCGAACCAAGGAGATGCCAGGATAGGAAACCTCCTGAAAAAGTAAGTGCTAAATGGGGAAGACAGTTTCACAAAGCCTTCAGCTCAGAGTGGGCAGGGGACTGGCCACCAAAAGGGAGTCAGGTCATCAGCCCTTTTTTATAACCCCTGACAAGTCAGAGCCTTCTCTGAGCATTGTGTTATGTGACTGGCATCCATCTCATGAGGAGGACTCAGGGGGGTGTGAGCGCTATAGATTTTGGGGCTGTGAGAGGGCAGCAATAGTACCTGGAGGCAATAGCCAGCACTGCTGTGGAGGAAGGAGGTAGAGGCAGAATTGGACACGGTGGACAGAAAGTAGACACAGAGCTGCCCCGCAGTAGCCTGGCATTTGGGGAATCCTACTGGGGGAGGTGTAGCCTTCACCAGAGGTTCCCATCTGGACGGCTCCCTCAGGGTCTGATAGGGGGCTGCTTGCAATACAGGTGTTCAGACTCCACCCCCAGAGGCTGATTCTGTGGATTCGGAGGGAGACTTTGGCTTCTAACCATCTCTGAGCTGCAGGCACCATGCAGCTTGGGAACCATCCGGCTAGATGGGGTTTAGGGGTGCGATGTTGAGGGGGGTTTGGAGCCAGTGCCTTGGGGAGGTGGGGGGTGTGTTTCAGCCTCATTTGAGGCTTGGGTGCTCTTCTCCCATGTGGGAGGGAACTGGCGACTTCACTTAGGGATAGGAGCATGAGGCTCCTCTAGGATAGCAGGACTTCAGTCATGAAACCCGATTGTTCACCATCCTGGGAGGAAGTGAGTGGACCCATCTCTGCAGATTGCCTTCCTCACCCTGTGCTACATCCTCCGTCGCCACCAGGTGGTCTGCGGCTCCAAGTATCTTGTGCGGGGCGAGAGTGCCCTCGACCACGTGGATCTGCTTGTCTCTTCCCGCCATTGGCCTCCTGTGTACGTGGTTGACATGGCCACACCTGTGGCCCTGTGTGCTGACCTCTGCTACCCGGAGCTGACCAACCAGATGTGGGGGAGGAATCAGGGCTGTTTCTCTAGCCCCATGGAACCGCCAGTGGTACGTTCCCTTCTGAGAAACTGGGATCCCACGAGGCTGACCGTGTCTTACTCCCTGGTTCTTCGGGCAGGTCTTCTGTGGCCCATCCAACATCTTTTTTTCTCCACCAGTGTTTTGTCTCAGTACACTGGAACCAGCATTTATGCCACAAATCTCTACTGACCTTGTGTGTGAGGCCATAGCATGTCATTTAGTGTACCCAGGGTGAAAACACAGGTATTGTGGGGGTCAAAGGGATTATCTTGCAGATGAACCTAGAAGATTGGCACCTTCGAAGACACTGTGCACTAACATACTGTAGGCCCAGAGCAGCCCTACTTTGGCTTTGCCTGAATCTGCTGCCTGGCATTCCTTGTGTTGTCATCTAGAGGCACAGTGGCTTAGAAAATGCTGACCTTATCCACTTCTTTCCTCTAATTAAAAGGGGAAAGTAAGGCCACGAAGGGGAAATGGACTGGTTGAGAGTTCCACAGCAGATTAATCGCAGAGCTCTGGCCTCTGTGTCTTAGTGCATTTTCTCAAGCTTGGGTTCTTAGCACAGGCACATGCCCTTTGCTGAAAGAGACATTAGACTGGTAGGAGGAAGGGGACATCATTGTCATCACTTGCCTTTTTCTTATTACTCCCTGGGCATTGCTCACCCTGTCAGTTTGTGAGGGGCGTTGCAGGACATCAGAGCCTCTGGGGGAACCTCCCCTGCAGCCCTGGGCAGAATTGATGAGACACGGACAGAGTAAGAGCAGTTCCAGTAATCCCGAGTCTGCTCTGGGTGGTGGCCACTGTTACTGTCCCCTGTATCACGAGGAACGGGGGATTACCCCAGGAGATGTGCCTGCCCTGTGGCAATGGAGGATTGAAACAGAGCTGACTGAGCCCGCAGTTTTCACGCCATCCTTCACACAGCTTGGACTTTAACCTTCCCTCTCATCTCCTTTCTAGAGTGTGTCCTGCCCAGAACTCCTGGACCAGCATTATACAGTGGACATGACAGAGGCTGAGCACTCTGTCCAGCACCCGGTCACCAAGACTGCCACACGGCGCATCGTCCATGCAGGCACACAGCCCATTCCTGGCGACCCCAGTGCTGGACACCACTCCCTGGCCCTGTGTCCTGAGTTGGCACCCTATGCAGCCATCCTGGCCTCCTTTGCAGACAGCAAACCAAACAGCGTCCGCCAGCGGCCCATTGCCTTTGACAATGCCACCCACTATTACCTCTACAACCGCCTCATGGACTTCCTCACCAGCCGCGAGATCGTCAACCGGCAGATCCACGACATTGTGCAGAGCTGCCAGCCTGGTGAGGTGGTCATCCGTGACACCCTATACCGCCTTGGGGTTGCTCAGATCAAGACGGAGGCGGAAGAGGACGGTGAGGAAGAGGATGGGGCCACGGCCACAGAGTAAGCACGTCTCAAGCCATAGCAAGGCCCTTGCCCGAGGCACATCCATCCAGGGACCAGCCTCTGAGGCTGGGACTGACCAAAGAGCTTCCATTTCCTGAGCTCGGTGGAGCCTGGGGTCCTTGGTTCTCAGCCTTCCAGAGGTCGGGAGAGGCACCAGGACGCTCCTTACTAGACCCAGAGGCACACGTGAGTGGATGGCACCATGTGTCCACTAGAGAGACAGGGAGGCTGAGAGAAGCTGGGGAGACTGCTGCTCCCCCGGGGTGCCTGCGGGCCAGGGTGGAGGCCCTGGCTGGGCCGGGGATGCCGTCTCCCTCCCCTGCAGCCCGTTGCCTTTGCCTCGGGGCCTGCCTTAGCTCTGCGGGTCCTGTGGGCTCCCAGAGGAGGCTTGCCTCTCTCTCCTGTTCTTCTGCACCCACACCTGGGGGCAGCTGAGCGGGTGGAAGGGGGCGAGCCACTGCTCCCTTCCAGGACTCTGCTCTCCCTCAAGCTGTGAGGGCCCCTCCTGGCCACTGCTGCTGCAGCTTCCTTCCTCCCCTAAAGAGGAAGTGGCCCGTGAGCATGGCATGACCTGGCGGCAGCAGGAAAACTCCCTTCTGTGAAGGGGAAGCAGACTGGGTCGTAAGGAAACAGCGGGACTGGCTCAAGTGCCCATGGTTTGCCTAGGGCACGGGAACTGGCCGTGTTACTTAATTTATTGAGAGGAGTGGGATAGATGGCTTTTCCCCCCCTCTCCCTTCCCCTGACCGGAATAAAGTTTATTAAATTATATGGTTTGGGTGCAACAAGAGTCAGTTCCAGTCTCATTGTGTGGGGTAGAGTGTGGTTGGGCCTCAGAGGTGCTGGGGAGGGTCACTCACCGTGGAAGGACGGAGGCAGTCCCTGGGAGTCCATGGGGCACAGAGACACAGAGGCCAGCTGTGTTAATGGGGTTAGTTTAATGCTGACGGGGACATTCCACAGTGTGACTGTTAGTTATGATGAGTCAACCTGGAGCAGGTGCTGCTTGCTTGGTGTGGCCAGCCACACAGGTCCCCTGCCTCCCACCTCAGTATGGTGGGGGCCAGACAGAACACTCCAAGCTTTTAGCTGCCACCTGGCTCATTGCAGCAGTACCAGACCCAGGGCGGGGTGGGGCTGTGGAGAGACGGCCTAGAGGCAGAGGGGGACAATTAGGTTCCTCCAGAGGAGCCAGCTTGCTCCCAGGGCCTGAGCACAGCCCTAAGCATCTGTCTGCTCTCATCGAGCCACTCAGTGGCTGTCCCTTCCATTCTGCCAAGGCCCAGGGAACCTTGCTTTCTCAGTGTTTGGGTAGCTCTTGGGAACTTCAATCACCAAATCAGTCCATTTCCATTGAAACAGGAGGGATGGACGGGAGGTGGTTCCCAGAAGTGGGAACAGGTTAAGAGTGAGCTGGGTGTTCTCCCAGTTGGCATAGTGAAGCTGAGGCCACAGCTTTGAGAACTGGTGGGGTGGGGTGGGGCTCAGCCCCAGTCCCCAACTGGCAGTGATGGCCCAGGCCCTGGGAGTGGGGTTCTCACCAACCTCCTATAGAGCCCCTGTTCCTGAGTTTCAGAGCTGGGCCAGGCTGTTGAGGAAAAAGACGGAGGGCAGAGTCTGTGTGTTCTTCCCGTGGTGCCCCATCCATGGAGGAGGTGCGAGCTTGGAGGCGGGGAGGGCAGTACTTCCCTATGGTCCCCTCCTCAGCAGAACTGGTAGTTGTTGGGTTGCAGCAGGGGCTGGGCGATGTCACCCTGCTCGCAGCAGGTCAGGTGCTCGCTGGAGCTCTCCTCCTCCGGCTCGCTGCTGCTGCCGCCACTGCTCGGCAAATTGCTATAATCCTGGGTGCAGAGAGGCCAGGGAACTGTCAGTCCCGAAGGGTCAGGCTCAGCTTTAACCAAGCCGCTCACCGTGAGCCTGACCCCACTCACCGGCTCTCTCCTGTCTGCCTGAACCTGCTCCTGGAGGAGGGAGCAGATCTGCTGGAAGGTGGGTCTGCAAGTTGGCTCCAGGGCCCAGCAGGCCTGCATGATGCTGTATCTGAGACGGGAGAGGAAGCAGCCGCTTATGGGCCTGGGAGTCACCATGTACGTGTGCACACACATACGTACACACACATACACACTCCTGCCTGGCAGAGGTCCTGAAACCGAGTCAGAAGTGAGCTTAGCACAAGACCAGTGTGAAGTCCTTGGTGTGCTTTATCTAATATTTCCGGTAACCCTGGGAAGGGGGCTTTTTGTCAGAATGGACCTGAAAATTAAGCTCAGGGATGCTACTTTGCCCAAGCTCTTGGCACAAAGGGGCACCCTTGCTGCCTGCAGGTAGGTTATACGGCTGCTTGGTGGTAGTACTAAAGTGGGTGAGGAGCTGGTTAGCGGGCTGCGTGCATCCACCTTGGCAGGGAGCCCCTGGGTGGCGCAGGGAGCAGCTGTGGGCAGACGGTGGCTGGAGAAAGACGCAGTGGGCGAGACGGGCCAGCAGGCCTGCGGAAGGGCTGTGGTGAGGGCAGGGAGCCAGTGAGGAGCTTGTGGTGGGCCGGCTGTCGGGAGGCGGTTACGAGAGTGCAGTGGCTGGTGGCTGTGTTGAGCAAGAGGCCAGCCACCAGGACAGAAGCAAAGAGAAAAGCCTTCTTGGGCTCATAATAGCAGAGTCCAGATGAAACATTCATCATCCGTCTTGGGGTCAGCCTCTGTTAAGATCCCTCTTTGAGAATGTCCTCCATGCTACCTGGAAAACCCGTGGAAACCCTAAACTTGCTAAAAGGGGTCCGCGTTAGTCCACTGTGGGCAAGAGGAAACCTGGCCCTAGAACACTGGACTGGAAAGATGGGCCACACGCCTTTCCATCCACTTCCACCAAACCCCGGGGTGCTTTACTTACATGTTCTTTGGGGCAAACGCGGGCTGAGCCATTTGGTATCCATCCTTCACCAGCTTATAGAACTTGCTGTTCACCAGGATGCCAGGGTAGGGGTTGAGCCCTGCAAAAGGTAAGATCACGATGCTCAGTGCCCGCCGTCCCCTTCCCCCTTGCAGCTTGGTGGGGCTGGGTGTCGGGTCCCAGCTAGACGTGGTAGTCTAACAGCAGCTCCCCTTAACAAGGGCTTACTACGGGCCAGGCACTGCAAAAGGTGTCCTGCTAATTATAGACTTCGAGGATGTAGAAAACCTTTGCTCAGGTCTCATTACACCCGCGGAATTCCAGCACAGGCTTTGGTCAGTGGAGGAGCACATGGACGGGCTGAGCCCAGGTACTTGTCTTAGTGCCCCAGAAATGGGCGCTGGGTCTTCAGGGACATGCACGTCTCAGACAAGAGGAAACAGCATGCAAGGGAACAGCCTGGAGGGAGTGCTGTCAGGGTAGAGGGGCTCGGCCCACGTTGGAGCTGCGACACTTGGTTTTAAGATGCTTCCCCCGCCCCTGCGCCCTCGGCAGCCCTTGCTCTGCGCTGACCTCCAGGCATCCTGGGCCAGCATCCTCCAGGAGGTGCAGGTGCCATGGGTCACCAAGCATCAGCCAGCCCCACGCTGAGCCTGACCGGGCCAGCGGCTCACCGAGTGAGAAGATCTCCCAGAGCAGGATGCCATAGGACCACACGTCGCTCTGAACGGTGTAGACGCAGTCGAAGATGCTCTCTGGCGCCATCCACTTCACGGGCAGGCGAGCCTGGCAGAACAGACCCCAGTCACCTTGGGCCCAGGTCACCACCCCAACCCCAGCCTGGCCCAGCCCTCCCAGCACTCACATTGCCCTTAACAATGTAGTTGGAGTCATTCATGATGTCCCGAGCCAGACCGAAGTCCCCAATCTTGGCCACGTGGCCGCTGGTCAGCAGCACATTTCTGGCCGCCACGTCCCGATGGATGCACTGAGGGAAGGCGCTGAGGGTCAGTCTTGGCCCCTCCCTGCCTGAGCCCAGGGTTCAGGAGGAGCAGCCAGGGCCCCAGAGGGCTTGGGGGATGAGGCAATGGCCATCATTTCTGGTCCCATACCCTGGCTCCAGGCCCTGCCTTTTACCATGACCCAAGTCTGAGAAAATGTCATGTGGTTAGACAGGCAGTGTTGAGAAACCGCCATGACTGGCCCTCTGGCTAAGAGCATCAGGAGCCGCCTCAGAAGCTTGGTGTTCTGCATGGGCCTAGAAACAGCTCTGGAGCTGCTAACAGGACCAGCGGCTGCCACCCTCAGGGCTGGCCCTCCCCTAAGTATCTGTGCACATCGTAACCCTGTCTTACCCTCATGCCATCCTGCGATTGCATCTGTCTTTATAGGTGTAGAAACCTAGGCTTGGAGAGGTTCAGCGGTTGCTCAAAGCAACACAGCAAGTGGCGGAGCCAGCATTCGAGCTCTAGAGACCCCAGTCTATGCTGTGAGGAGCATGGCCCCCTTCACAAACTCCATTTTCTTTCCCGTGTCCTCACCCATCTAGCCTCATGGGTTCAGCTGCCCCCACCCCCCTGGGTGACCACACAGAGGGACCTGTTTTCTGAGACTTACATTCTTGGAAGCAAGGAAGGCCATGCCCTGGGCCACCTGGCTCGAGAAGTGGAGCAGGTCACGCAGCTCCAGCGGCCGCCCGTCCTCCTTGTCCAGGTCTGGGGTCGGGAGAGGCATCAGAGCGGCCCCGCTGACTGCCGCCCCCGGCCCCCGGCCCCACCTCGAACCCAGCAGCCCCTCTCCTCTCCCTCAGCCCTGGGTACCTCCTCGCACCTTGCTCAGAGAAGGAGTCATTTGACGAAGAAGTGGACACAGGTCTCATCTCCACGTAGGTGTCCACGCCCTGGCTGGAGAAGCCGCTGTCCCTGCAGAGGAGAGGGGCCTATCATTCCCACTGCCCAGCTCAGGCCTCGCCCAGCCACTCAGCAGAGAGGAAAGGACCTGAGTCAACTTGGACTTCAGTTTCTGAACCACCCTCTCTCGAGTGATCAGTGACCCGTGCTTGGCCATCCAGCAAGGGCGCTTACAGCCTATTCCATCTTCAACAGCTCAGCCTGTTAGAAGTTTCTCCACTGTTCCTAATGCTAGTCTGCCCTGGGGCTGTTCCTCTTCCTGGTCCTCACTCTGCCCTCGAAAAGTGTCTCCCTCGTTCTTGGAACGCCCCAGTGGGGATTTGAGCTTATGCCAGGGCCCCTTCTTTGAGTCCACTTGTCTGCACTGTGCCTCTCCCTTCTGGCTTCACCCTGGGAAGCTCCAGATACTCAGACCCCCCGCCCCCCGCCCCCGCCCACACACACACACACACAGACTAAAGACTTTGGAAACTAGGGACAAAACTTAGTCATTCCCACTCACCAGTTTCTCTAGGCAATTCTGGTGTGCAGCCAGAGTGGAGGCCTGATCTAGAGCTGCTTAAACTAATTCATGTGCATGTGAATAACCTGGAGAATCTTATTTGAATGCAGATTCTGACTCTGCAAGTCTGGAGGTGCCTGAGTGGGTACATTCCTAACAGCTCTCAGAAGACTATGAGCTTGTGCTTTGGGTGGCTAGCTGTTAATGTTGAGATAGGCTTCCCTGGTGGCTCAGACGGTAAAGCGTCTGCCTGTAATGCAGAAGACCTGGGTTCAGTCCCTGGGTTGGGAAGATCCCCTGGAGAAGGAAATGGCAACCCACTCCAGTACTCTTGCCTGGAAAATCCCATGGACAGAGGAGCCTGGTAGGTTATGGTCCATGGGGTCGCAGAGTCGGACATGACTGAGTGACACTTTTTCCACTTTCTAAGATTGTGAAACACCACTGCTTCTAATATTCCAACCAGATAGGAGCCTGGACCTCTCACCTCCTGCCCCCTTCTGTGACAGAGATGTATACCGTGATGATGTCCTTACTCTAGTGTTCCTAGGAAAACAATCCAGTGTTTTATTTGCAGTCTGACCATCGAAAAACCATCCTCTCTCTTGGTCTGGAAACTATACTATTAGCAAGATTGGGTCACATGCCATTTGCCCTTGAAATCGTGAATATGGAAGCTAACACTTGATTTCTGTTCTCATTTTGAGTTGATCTGCCCTGAGCTCCCAGCATGAGGCCCAGTATGAGCCACCCTCTCCAGAGGGTGTCAGAGACTCCGAAGAGGAAGCCTATCCTGCCAGCCCCCGTGCTTGAGGTCACTGATAGAGTGACATGGTCTCCTTCCCCTTCTGCCTTCCCAGACCGGGTAGCTGACAGTGGTAGGATAGGAGCCCAGTGTATACCCTTCTGATCCTGCCGCAGCTCGCAGTAGCCTGGCCCCGAGGCCTCACAGGCCCTGAGTCCAACACTTTGAGGAGAGCGGCATGGCTTAGGTGAGCACTGGGCAAGGAGGCAGCAGCAGGGTCTAACCAGGCCCCGCCTTTGCCTCTGCCTCGTGTATGACACAAAGCCGGCCACTTCCTCTCTGTGGTTCCCCATGTGGCCCTGTCCATCTGCCTCTGTGTGGCTTCCAGGAATCACAGCATTAGAGTGAGAGGAGAAAGACTGAGAGGTTCTGCCTGGATGGCTTGTTGGGGAAACTGAGGCCCAAGTGGACCAAGGACCTGGCCACAGCTATGCTGTTTTGCCCCCTGTCATCCAACAAGGAACAGGTTCTATCCCACTTCCCCATGGCTGCTCAAAATTGGGATGGGTGCCCTTCAGGCCTCATAGCACATGCTATGGGAGAAATAGGGCCATTATCCCCAAGACTTGCCTGTGTCTAGCTAGGGCCCCGAATGGATCTTATACACACAATAAAATCATCCATTAACGCCTGACTCCACCAGACTGTGAGCTGCCTATCTCTGCTCGTTATACTCCCAGAATATTTGAGTAGGGGCTCAAATATTCCTTGGGTGATGGGACTAAGTAGGAAACAAACAAAAGTGCCCACATAATACGGGTAGCTACTCCCCACAGCACGAAGGGGAAGGTGAAGACCACACAGCCACCCAACCCTGAGCTGACTTTGGGAACAGACACGGGGCCCCACCTCCCAGTCCTGGCCTTCCTGGCCTTTGCCAGGATACTACCTGCGGATGTATTTCTTTTCCAAGTGGATGTTCTTGTAGCCAGTGCCTGCCTCGGGGTCCTGGCCTGGACTCAGGCTGGGTCCCAGCATGGCCTCAGCCTTCCTTCGCAGAAAGTTGAGCAGGTCACCATAGCAACAGTACTCAGTGATGACCAGGACAGGGCCTAGAGCAGCCAAGAGAGTGGGGTCAGTGCGCCCTTAATCCACCACCCCACCTGGACAAGGATGTGGGGAAAGGGCAATAAGAACCTGGACTGTGACTCTGAAGCCCGGGATTCTAATCCTGCCTGACTGTAAGCAGCCCTCCATGCTTTCTGGGCCTTGGTGACCACATCTGTCTAGAGCAGAGGGACCCCCAAAAAACTAGCTGAAGAATTCTTTCTTCCAAGGAAAACTAAGGCAGTTCCGTATAAGTCATAGCTGCTATAGGAGAATAGGATGGGGCAGACTGAATCCCATTGGTTCCTGGGACACTTCTATGGGCCCTGTGGTGAGTGCCCAGCCTCTTTGAGTGGGGGCTTAAAGTTAGATTTGGAGGGCTTCACTAGACCCACAGCATCAGACTCCCTGGAGCAGGGTCCGAAGATCTGCATTCTTTGCTCCTTTTCCAGGTGACTGATGTCCACGCATGTATGAGAGCCACTGGTCAGAGCTCCCAGAACTGCCTGTCATCCCCAAGCAGCTTCTGACCAGTCCAGGCGTCTGGCCTTAGGAATTCAAGGGGTGCCCAGACAGGGATCCTACCTTCACTTTGTGGGAATGGGAAGGGGAAGATGGATGGAGTGAGGCCACCCCGGGGCCCTCAGATGCCCAAGATCGTGGCCCCGCATGCCTGCCAGGGCCCCTCACCTCCATGGGTACAGGCTCCCAGGAGGTTGACTATGTTCTCATGCTGGCCCAGGTGGCTCATGATCTTCAGCTCTGACATGAGGGCTTCCTTCTCGTCAGCGTGCGCCGTGGCTGGGAGGTGGGGCCACAGAGAAAGGACAGGACATGGAGAGCCACACACAGGAGACACCGGGGAGCAAAGCAGGGGGCACCCAGAGCGCCCAAGATCATCAGAAGCCAAGAGAGGCAGAATAGATGAGGACATACAGATGGGAGTTGGGAGAGAGAGGAGAGGTGGTCTGTCACTGAACTGGTTTGGGTGGCAGGCCAAGCTGTGGCCAAGCCAGACCCCAGGGTGGCCTCTCGTCCCAGCCCCTTTGGGGTTCAGTCAGAAGCCCTTCCACACCCAGGAGTAAGAGGGGACCTGGCACTCACAAAGGAAACAGCGGCTTCACCCCTGATCCCAGGTTCTGACAGGCTGAAAATGCGGGCAATGCCCCGTGACCACAGGACAGACCATCCTGGTGGTATCTGCTACCTTCTACCCGCTCCCCCACCCCCGAGCCCCTCCTGCACTCACACTTCAGCATCTTCACAGCCACCTTCAGGACAGCATCTTCCTTGCCCAGACCAAAAGCCGTGGCCTCTACCACCTTCCCAAAGGCGCCAGCTCCGAGGGTCTTACCTGCCACACACACACACAGCCTCCTCAGGTCCTGGGGTGCCAGAGGGGCCTCTCTCTAAGGGCCCACAGGCTCCCCACCACCCACGCCGGCCCTGTGACAGGAGGGCATGGTGGGTGCAGAGACCCCGGCTCACCAAACTGCAGGTTGTTCCGGGGGAACTCCCACTTCTCATTGTAGGGCAGCTGGGTGGGGTCGATGAAGGTGTAGCTGTTGCCTTCATAGCTCTCGATGATCTTCCAGCGCACCTGGTACTTGGGCTTCTGTTGGGGGGAGGGTTGGGGAAGTGGGGGAAGGGTCAGCCAGGTCTGCCAGGTGGGTCTGGGACATCATCCCGACCCAGGAGGACAGGGGCTGGGCGGTCCCATTGCACAGCGGGAGGAGGTGGGTGTGGCCTGCGATTTGGTGAGAGGGGCCGTGTCACCCCATGCCCATGGCACCGAGAGCCCAGTCCCTGTCAGCTTGGCCTTACCAAGGGACCATCCATTCTCCAAGCCTCGGTTTCCTTAACTGTATATTGAAAGACTTAGGACCATGTCTGAGGGTCTTGACAACTCTGATAATTTGGTAATTCCTGAGCTAGGAGGGAGAGTGAAACTATAGGTGCACGTCCATCCTCCCATCCAAGTATCAGCTGTTTTACTTTCACTTGTGGTGAGAAACATATAACAAAACTCCCCAAATCAACCATTTCTCAGTATACTGCTTGGTGGTGGTATATACATTCACACTGTTGTGCAACCAATTTCCAGAACTCTTTCCATCTTGAAAAACTGAAATTCTTTGCTCACTAAACACCAGCTCCCTGTTCCCATCTCCCACTTATCTCATGCATTTGACCATCCCAGGGACCTGATTTAATTGGAATCATGCAGAATCTGTCCTTGTATGACTGTCTCGTCTCACTCAGCATGATGTCTTCAAGGTTCACCTATGTGGTTGCCTATATCAATATTGCCTCCCCTTTTAAGGCTGAGTATTACTCCCATCTAAATATCCCACTGAGCACCTATTTGTTTCAGGCATCAATGATTGAGAGTTGAACAGAACAAGGTTCCTGTCCCCTGGAGTTTGCATTCTAGTGGTTAAGATAGGCATTCCACTCAAATAAAAACATATAAAGGACTACAAATACAATGGAAGACAGGTCAGGAAGGGTCCCCGGGAGGTGAGAGGGTGCTGGTCAGGGGAGCATCGGGGGAGCAGAGGTGTGGATGTGGCAAAGGTCCTGGAGAGGCCGAGGGACTGGAGGTGCCATGTGGCTGGAGGCGAGCAGGCACAGTTCTGAAGGCAGGAAAGTCTTGAGGGATGCCAGTCACTGAGTGAATTCTCTCAGTGCCAGGAGAAACCTCCTAGGCTTGATGCAGGTGAGTGATGCGTCGGACAAAGTTAAAGGACAGACGGAGAGAGACCCCACGCACACAGCAGTGAGCAGCTGGCGCACCCACTCAGGCTCTCCATGCAGCTCCAACCAGCCGGCCGGTGGCAGAGCCTGAACAGCGGGAAGTGGCTGCCGCTCTCTTTCCTGCCCAGGGTGGCAGCTGCATGGGGGCATGATGCCAGAGGGTGCCCACGAGAAGTGCTGATGGAAGACAGAGTTTAGGTGGAAAGTGGAAGCTGGGGTGGGGTGGTGGTGAACACCGAGGCCTCGGATCAGCAGTCCAACTCTTTCCGGTCACTCGTGGGGCGTGGAGGCCAGCTGGGCTGTGTTGTTTAGCAGCTGGGATCCTCCATGGGGCACCCCCCTCGAGGTGGGGGGAGCTCAAGTGGGTGCTGGGAGGAGCGTGGCCTGTGACTGAAGTCTCCCAGGTTAAGAGAAAAGACTCCAGGTAGCCATCAGGAAGAATATCCAGATGGTAGTTTGGAGGGAAAGACTAGTTAGACATAAAAGGAAGAACTTCCAGGTTCTGATTCATAACAAGAGACTATGGGTAAATGTCAGGACAGCCATGTTAGAGTTATAACAGACAGTCTGAAATGGGACAGGAAGATTTCCTGAGTGTCAGAGGATTCAAACCCTGCCTGTGGCCGCCTTTCCAACCCAAAGGACAGAGAGAGTACCAGGAAGGATTCCTTTTCCTCTCCTGGCCACTTCTATTTCCAGGAGCCACTGTGGTGAAGGCTATCTTTTCCTTCTCGCCACTTCTCTTTCCTCTGGCCCTGCAGCTGGGCCTGAGTCAGCCCCCTCCCCACTTCACCCCGAGCAAGCCGCGCAGGGGAGAGTGGGGAAGGGGAGGGTGATCAAGGCAAGCGAGGTTGCCCGGCTGGAACTTCAGCCTCTGAATCCCAGACCTGATCACCGGAGGAGGACACCACTCTCTCCCGCCTGTCTCAGCCGCCCCCACCCCTCTTCTTGGGAGGCGGCCTCCAGTTCTGCCCAGCCTCTGCTACGCCTACACGTGGCTCTTCCTGCGAGCTCCTGCCCAGAGGGGCCTCTCCTCTGGGTGGCCTCGGAATAGAATGCTGTCAGTGCGTGCGGGCAGAGCACTTCCTGTGAGTGGGCGCTGGGCTCCACACTCAACGTGCGTCATCTCACTTATTCCTTGTAACGGGCCCAGGCCACTTCCCCTTGCCGACCGAGGTGGGCATGGAATCATCAAAGTCCCCACAACTCCCTGTGTATGCCTGCTGTCTGGGTGGGAGGATGCTTTCTGTCTTGGGAAGGGGAAGATCTGAACAGTTCTCACCAGAAATCTTAGGGACCCTCCTGTGCATCCCCTCTATGCCCCCCATTCCCGAGAATGCTAGCCTCTCCACTGCCCCTCCCACCATCCCCTTTGCTCCTTCCCGTCACTGTCATCCTTTCTTCTGCATGTCCCTGCTGCTTCTAGCCTGCTGACTCCTGCCCTTTTCTCTTCCCCCTCAGCCCCCCCTGTCTTTCTGGGGGCCAGAAAGGCGATGACTCAGCCCCGGGACAGAAGCAACCCTTCCCCCAATTGGGGCCACCCTCCCCTCAGGCCTGGGTAGTGAGGACAAGCCAGGCTGGCTCCCCAGGGAAGGGGCGAGGCTCAGAACCCCAAGGGGCAAAGCAAAGGATACTTGGACGGTAAGCCCTCGGGCATGGCCATCACGTTAGGGCATGGCCATCTTGACTCCTGGGATACCCTCCTCCTCTTGGCCTTGGGTGGGCTCTGGGGCCAGTTCAATTTCCTAAATAGGATAAGAGGTGCCTGGGCGTACACGTTCCAAAAATGGTCCCTTGAAGAGAAGGTAGAGTGTTCCCAAACAACAACTGACCAAGGGGTCTGGGCAGTCCAAGGCAGAAAGGGCTGGAGGGGGAACTGGGCCCTTCTTTGGAATTTCTGCGGGGCTAGGGAGGCAGCTTTCAGTTCCATATAAGGAAGAACTTTGCAACAGAGCTGCTCAGAGAAGGAGCGGGAGGCCACGAGAGTGAAGTCCTGTCCCCCTGGAGGTGGGCGAGCAGTGCCCAACAACCACTGTGGGCGTGTAGTCAAGGAGATGCCCAACCTCAGACAGCCCTCCAATCCCAAAATGCGTGCGCAAGCTCAGGTTCCCCAGTCAGCTTCCTCCTGGGCCTGGCATATTCAGTGTCCAGTCTGAGCGCTGTCCAAGCCCAGGACCTTGCTGAGTAGTCTGCAGTCTGCCAGTCAAGGTCACACGGCCAGTGTCAGAGGTGGACCCAGATCCCTGAAGACTTGACCTGGGGCCCTGGATTCTGGAGGCTGCACTCAGAGCTGCCTCGTGCTGGGTGCTGAGTAAGCCCCAAGCACCCTGTGCACCTCTGGGGCACCCTCCCCCCGACACAGCATCTACCTGTCTACTCCAAGTCCTCTACTTAAACTAAAACCCTCAAGGCAGGTGCGGGGAAGAAAAGGCAGCAGAGGGGCCCACAGGTGGGCTATTCACTTGTAACTCCCTTCATCCTGTTGTTCACATCTCCTGAACCTTCAGGATGGGGTCCAGACCTCCAATGTGCCCCCGCCTGCATCCTCTCCCAGGCATCAGTATTTCCAGTGCTCCCCATGGTCTTCCCCACTCTGTGCACACTGCCCTCTCCCCAGAGCCACCCTTGCCCTGAATCTCCTCTTCCCTTGGCTGCCTGCCCTGTCCTCCATGGCCCAACTCACCCACGCCAGGCCACCTCCTCCAAGCAGACTCCTTTCCCTGCCAGCCAGAAACCGTCCCTCCACTTCTGGCCTCCCACAGCATTCTGGCCTGGCCCTGTCAGTGCCCAACCGCACCAGAAATGGTCTTTCACACAGACTGGCAGTGAGGCTAAATGGTGGAGACCGTGGGCTCTGGGGTAGGAAGCAACTGGGATTCTTGAGCAGGTCCTTCAACCTTGCTGAGCCCATTTCCTTATTGTAGAATGCTGACTGCTCTTGTCCCTGCCTCCAGATTGCCGTGAGGGTAAAATAAGATGACTTCATATTTTGCAAAATGGTTTAGAAAATGACTCTTTCAAAACCAGCGTCTGCCATTGGCCAGCTGTAGACTAGGTCATCTGTCTCAATCTCTTGGAACCTCAGTTTCCAACTCTGTAAAATGAGGTTAGTGATACTATCCACATGCCGTGGTTGCTGAGGGCAGTAAATGAGAGGATGTAGGTAACACATGTCATAAAAATGCACTTAAAATCACTGCTCAATCAATCACTGATTGAGCACTCAAAGTGACAGGCAGGGTACTAAATGTCAAAGTGCAATTAATAGCAGACTTGATTCACAATAATGTTAAATAATGAAGAGGAGGGGCTTCCCAGGTGGTGCTAGTGGTAAAGATCCCTGAAGACTTGACCTAGGGCCCTGGATTCTGGAGGCTGCACGCAGAGCTGCCTCCTCATGCTGGGTGCTGACATAAGCACATAAGCAACTCCCGCCCTGCCAATGGAGGAGACGTAAGAGACCTGGGTCAGGTCCCTAGGTTGGGAAGATCCCCTGGAGGAGGGCATAGCAACCCACTCCAGTATTCTTGCCTAGAGAATCCCAAGGACAGAGGAGCCTGGCGAGCTGTAGACCACAGGGTCGCAGAGTCAGATACAACTGAAGCAACTTAGCACGCACAAGGCATGCTTGTGGATAGGAAGAGGATAGGGACTTCCCTGGTGGTCCAGTGGATAAGGATGCACTTTCCAATGTAGGGGACATGGGTTCGATCCCTAGACGGGGAACTAAGATCCCACATGCTGCGTAGCAGCTAAGTGTGCATATGAAACTAATAAGCCCATGCACCTCAACTAGAAGAGCCTATGGGTATCCACCAAGAGCTGGTGTGCCATGACTAAGGCCTGAAACAGCCAAATAAATCTTTTTAAAAAATAATGAAGAGGATGATGATGGTCAGGCCTTCCCTCCACTAACTCACCTACCACCTGACAGAGACACAGGCCTGGCCCCTGGGGCCCCTCTTGTGCCCCTGGAAGCCCCAGCTGGGAGAGGATCCCAACTTCACCCTCTCCCCGACTCCCACGGCATCTTTCCTCTGTGATCCACGCCCTCAACTTTCACAGTAGCAGCCGCCTCCTGCGCTAGACGGTGAAGCCTACAAGGGCAGAACCCCAGAGGCTTAAGTCTGGACTCACGCAGCCACTCACACTAACATCCACTGGAGAGCTCTTGTCGGTGAACGACTGGCTGATGGATGAGAGGTCATGCCGGGCGGATCCGCACAGCCTGGCGGTGCTACCCCAGGGTCTGGCTGCCCCCGCCCCGCCCAGGCTCACCTGCTTGTACTTGTAGAAAAGCAGCAGCAGCAGCAGCAGCAGCAAGGCCATGACAGACAGGCAGGCCGCCAGCACCGGTGTGAAGAGGGGCTCATCGCGGGGCTGCGTGGAGGCTCCTGCATGAAGGGGCGGGGCAGGGGGGTGAGCCGGCCAAAGGGGCCTTTGAGACCGCCTGCCCCACTGAAACAGGCCACTGGCCTGGAACACAGTAGGTGCCCCCCAAATTCTTGTTGATTGAACAAGGTGTCCTCTCAGCAGGAAGCCTACAGACCTCCCACAGCCAGGGGCAGGGAGAACCCCCCACCTCCAGCCCTGCTCACGCCCAGCTCTAAACCCTGCCCAGACTCACAGCCTCTGCAGCCAGGGGAGCCCCTCAGGTCACGCAACCCACTCCCCACCTGTGCAAGAAGCCTCTGGGGCTCAGCTGTGACTTGTACCCCCCCCAATGTGGAGGCTCATTACCTACACCTCTGGCCAGCTTGGATGGAGAGACCTTCTAGAGGTTGGACTGAAATCCGCCTCTCCAGGAGGTCCCTGCGGCATCCCTGAGTGCCCTCTGGGACCACACACCCCTCCGAGAGTCTGAAAGCCAGACTCATGGACCCAGGTCTTCTCTTCCCACATCAGTAGCCCCAGTTCCCTTGATGTGTTGGGAAAGACCTAATTTCCACCTCCTGACCAGATCAGCAGCATGAATCTGAGACTCAGCCTCACTTCTACCCCTTAGGAAGTGCGAGAGCAAACCTGTGACTTCTCCCGAAGCCTCAGGTTCATCATACCCCAAGAGGGAAGGCAGACTGTACTAAAGCAACTTCACGGGATTAGGCGAGCGCACTAAAATAATGTTTGCAAAGGGCTTAGCACGATGCCTGGCACAGTGTAAGCCTTCAGCAAAATGTTGGCTTTCTTATTTGTAATATAGGACCACCAGCTTGAGACATAGCCACAAGGGCATGTGGAATTGGGACTCCAAGGCTAGTGCACCAGGAGCCCCCTTGGAACCAAGCAGAGGCCCAGTCTGTCCTCTCTGGGCCTGGCACACAGTGGGTGCCGAACATGCTTTTCAGAGGCCTGAGGGTGCTGTGGCCCTGTACAGTCTCGGGCCTTTCAGAATCAGAGAACTCACCCACATGCAGCCTTTGTGCAATGCAGAGAGGGATGCGTCTTCCTCCAGACGATGCTGCTGCAGCATTTGCCCCCCACCCCCACCGCACAGTGGCCCCGGGTGGATAGGTTTGTGTCTCTGATGGAAGGGAGTCCGGGAAGGATGGGAAAGGCCGGCGAGGCTGGCCCTGGGTTGGGGGCGAGGCTGGCCCTGGGTTAGTCGCCTGTCCCCGTCTCCAGACTCTAAGCCCAGGGGAGGCCCTGCTCCCCTGTGAGTCTCAAATACACGCCTGTGAACTAACAAGTCAGCTCAAATGCAGGAGTAAGAGCGGAGGGGCCAGATTAGGCTGCCGCTGCTTTCTCTCGAGATCTCTGCTTCCCCTCTGCCCTTCTCCCCCCTACTACTCCAGCCCTCTGGGTTCTAGACTGCCCGTCTTGCAGCCTTTGGTCATGAGGGACCTAGAGTCACCCACGGAGAGCTAGAACTCGGTATGGCTGGGATCCGCTAGGCGCTGGAACTCTGGCCCTTCGCTCCCATGAGTGGGTGGGGGTAGTTCCCTGGGTGCCCCCCTCCTGTCGCAGCCTGGAGCAGGGGTCCAAGGCTCACCTATGGAGATGGGCCCCAAGGCCCCGAAGGTGTTCCCCATGCTGTTCTGGGCCCTGCACTCGTACGTCCTGTTGTGTTCCAAGGTCCCCGGGGTCAGCAGGCTCTGGACGGTCACCTTGCGGAAGGGCTCCTGGCGCAGGACGTCAGGGTTCGGCTCCTCCAGGACCAGCACGTGGGTCTTATCACATCTGGGAAGCGCAGAATGTGGTCAGAGCTTTGGGGTGCCCAGCCCCCGAGCCCAGGTGAGGAGGGAGGTCACTTACCTGTTGGTGTGGCTGCTGCACTGCACCCACGTCACATTGGGCCGGGGATACCCCGAGGCTTCACAAAGCAGGGCTTTAGAGCCATTGGTGAAGGTCCACATGACTTCTACCTCTGGGGGGTCTGAGGTAGAGAGGGCCTGAGTCTCCTCGTCTGACTGCCCACCCTGAGCCTTCTCTGCCCCAGCCCAACCTCTCCCAGCTCGTCTATCTGGGCCGCCCCAGGAACCCTGTATCCCCAAGCCCTTCTACTCACATAGAAGAGTGAGTTCAAAGGTCAGGTTATCCTCGCCTCTGGCATTTCTAGCCTGGAAGGAGTAGAGGCCAGCTTCGGAGGGCTTCAGGCGAGGCAGGGTGAGCTTGGAGGTGTATCTGTGTGGGTGAGGACAGAGGGTTCCAACAACCACCTTAGAGGGGGTGGCTTTATCTTTGGTCAAGGGTCTGGGGCACGAAGGCCTTGGCTGAGCCAGGTACCCAGGCTGGGTCCACTGAGACATGGAAAAACCACCAATCCGATTTCCTTAATTGCCCCTCTCATCCGCAAAGCACTTCAGTTCTGAGATTTAGTAGAGGCAGTGTCTGTAAAGTGCCGATGCTGGGAGGCATCTCTCTAGCCTCGCTGAATATATCTCCTTTCACCACCATCACTGGGCTAAACAGTCCTTGCTGAAAACGCCAGTACCTGGTCAGCTTCTATTCCCAAATCACCAGCCCTGCCAGGAGGGGGTTTTGAGAGGGAAGGGAGGCAGGATGCAGCCCTGGGGCTCCAGAGACCAGGGCTCAAGTCCTAGTATTGCATTTCCCAGCTGTGTGACCTTAGGCAAGGATACTTAACCTTTCTGTTCCTTTGTTTCTTTTTCTGTGAGCGTGACACTTACAGTAATTAATTCACCAACTCAGTCTAAGGGTTAGAGGGATCTGTATTCTGAGAGCCTGACTCATTGCAGACATTTGCCCCTTTATTGGAAAATATCTGCAGCCATTACTAGATTAAAACCCATGGTATTTACTCAGCCAGTTCATTGGCATATAGAACCCCTCTAACAGGTGTCAATTCTTGAGATAACTAATACCTACTTCTTAAACTGAAAGAATTTAACTTTCTGCGTGAGTCAAAATCACCATGATGAACACACCTATCACATGGCCTCAGTTTGGTGCCCTGTGCTGAAAGGCCCCAGATTACCGAGTTCAAGGACACCTCTCTGGTTCCTTTCCACAGTGTCCCTATTGCTTACAGACCCCTGAGACCTATCCATGGATCAGCCTCCTTCCAGGGGTCTGCAGACTCCAGTTCAGAACTTCTGCTTTAGCAGAGAGGAAGCTAGAAATCCTGGCTGGAAAGGACAAGAAAGGAACTGGGAAGAGGAAAATGAGGACAAGGGAACATCTTTGTTGATTCTGATGATCAACAAACAAGAATCCAGGAATCAAGGAGGTTTGGGCTTCCAGAACTAGAAAGAGAACTCCAGAGAGTTTGGGAGTTGGAAGGTGCCCAGGGATTATCTACCAGAGGTGGCAAGCAGGTCTCCTTAAGTGAGCCAGTTATGATGGAAATATAGCCTGAAGACTGTATTGAGGACTCTGAGGCTGCATTTAGACACTGCAGGAAATGGTTCAAAACTGAATTAGGGCTGTTCATCACAGCTGTGGGAGGAGACGTGATTGCGTGTACACTACATATTTGCTGTCCTTAATGGAGCTGTGCTCCCTCATTCAAATGGTAGAGGAATAGATAAAGAGAATGTGGTATGTATATACAAAGGAATATTACTCAGCCATAAAAGGGAATGAAACTGGGTCATTTTTAGAGACTGTCATAGAGAGTGAAGTTAGTCAGAAAGAGAAAAATAAGTATCGTATATTAACACATACATGTGGGATCTGAAAAAATTGGTATAGATGGCCTTATTTATAAAACAGAAATAGCGACAGACATAGAGAACAAACATGGATATCAATGGGGGAAGAGGGAGATGGGATTAACTGGGAGATTGGGATTGACATACATGCACTATTGATACTATGTATAAAATAGGTAATTAATGAGAGTGACTGTATAGCACCCGGAATGCTACTCAATGCTCTGTGTTCCTGACATGAATGGGAAAGAAGTACAGGAAAGAGGGGATGTGTGTATACGCATAGATGATTCTCTTTGTTGTGCAGGAGAAACTAACGCAACACTGTGAAGCAGCTACGGATGGGAGTGTGTACCTGCTCAGTCGTGTCCAACTCTGTGACCCCAGGGACTGGAACCTGCCAGGCTCCTCTGCCCATAGGATTTTTGAGGCAAGAATACTGGAGTGGGTTGCTGTTTCCTTACTCCAGGAAAAGTTTTAGAAATAGAACCGGGCACAGAAATTATTAGTTTCACACTTGTTGTCAGTGTTCCTCCCTAGGGAAGAAACTCTCTTGTTTAGAAAGCACCTGGTTAGGTCACTTTGGACAGGAAAGAAAGACCCTGAGGAGAGAGTCCACAGGAGACAAAAAGACATTTCTAAGTAGGATGCTGTGCATGTAGAGTAAGCAGGACTCTGGGAGTGGAGGGTGGGGGCGTGCACAGGCAGACAGACCTTTAATAAGGAGAGTTTTGATCCAGTGGAGAAGAGTAGCTGGTGAGAAATTCTCAAGGGTGGATGGCCACAGGCTTTTAAAGAACTTTCGATGTATCTGTGACTGAGAGATATTAATTCCCTCTAGTCCCCCAAACCTGTGTGTGAGGCAGATACCTCATGCAATTGCCATCAGGAGAGTGACTCTAAGTGGAAATCATGGGGATGGTCTTCTGCATTTGGATTAGTCACAAAAGAGGAGAACGAATAAGCTCGGGAGAACCTTGGTGACTGTCAGAATGCACACACCCAAAAAATGGTAGAATTCTTGAGGAGGACATTTAATTTCCCAAGGATACAGCACAGAGGCTACACTAGTGTCATCTACATCTCAAACACAGATGACTGATGTTGAGGCTTTACATAGTCAAGAAAACTGAGACCTAGAAATGGGAAAGGACCCACCCCCTGGTCAAGGTTGAGACAGGACCCAAATGTGCTGACTCTCGGTTAAAGTGTTCTCTGTCTGGCTGTGGGCCATGCAGATGGGAGCTAGTGGGTGGTACCTGTATGTGTCGTTGGTGATTACAAAGTTGAGCTTGGGCTGGGAGCCAAAGAAGGGACCCTCATAGGTCCAGTTGAAGCTTTGCAGGCTTGGGTAGGCCTCCACCTTGACTCTGAGTTCGAGCTTCTCACCAACGGCCACCTCTTGGAGGAGGTTCTGCTCAGAGGTTAAGTTCAAGTAGGCACTGTCTGGAAAGCAGAATGCACAGAAATCTGGCATGAGTGGGAAAATGTTCGCCTGTGTGTTCATTTGGTGATCTGCCTGTGGATCCAGTCTTTTAGCTGGACTCTCCCTGAGTACCTAGCATGTTGCAGTCACACAGACCCGACCTATAACCAAAACTTGCCCTCTCTCATATTTTTCCCGCCACTCCTGCCCCTCTCAAAAGCCCAGGGCTTTAAACTCTTCTTCTCTCCAAGTTCCTGAAAGAACCTGGGCAAATTTCTATCCTCCTTACCACCTCTACCTCTTTGTTTACATAATAAAGAGATTAATAGAATATATCTATCGCATTATAACTGTATAAAGTGTTTTCTAGCAGCTAAAAATGTCCCCTTTTCTGGCAGTAGTTTATAGTTCCCCTTTTTCTGGTAGAAGTTTAATCAATGCAACTTCCATATCCAGTTCTAAAGTGGGCATGTCATGAGACAAGTGCTCGGACCTGGTGCACTGGGAAGACCCAGAGGGATCGGGTGGAGAGGGAGGTGGGAGGGGGGATCGGGATGGGGAATACATGTATATCCATGGCTGATTCATGTCAATGTATGACAGAAGCCACTACAGTGTTGTGGAGTGGTTGGCCTCCAATTAAAAAAAAAAAATTAAATTGAAAAAATTCAAAATAAAAACTTGAAATAAGGTGATTAAAAAAATAAATAAATAAAGTGGGCATGTGACCCAGGCCAGCCAATCAGGGTAATCTGTGCCCTTTGGACTGTGGTTGGTTTGGGGGTAGGAATGAGTGAGTCCATGACACTTATTCCTATTATTCCTGTTGGGACTGGAGGAAAAGAGAAGCTTCCATTCCACTGGGGTTTCCAAGCTTGGTGCTGCCCCACAAGAAAAATATAGAGCCGAGGGTTGGGAAGCAATAGACTCTTGTCTACATCTGAACATCAAAATCCAACTGTCCCGGAAGCTCATACCCATGTTTTGTTTTGTTTTGCTTTAGCTATAAGGCCAATAAGATCCTCTTTTGGTGAGGTCAGTTTGAGTTGATTTCTACTACCTATACCTGAAAGATTCTTGACTGGTTCCTTCTAATTAAATGTTGCATGAATTAAAATCAAGCTACTCTGATTGAATTGCAGGCAAAAGAGAGGTACCCCCATCCACAGACTCTCCATGCCACTCATGGATGCTTCTGAAATGCTTTCTTAAAATCCCAAGGCTTTGTAAAAATCCCTGGACTAGATCATCTCACAGGACTCCTTTTCTTACTCAAGTCTATGAAATCTAAAATTCACTCTTCTACTCTGTGATGTTCCTGCTCAAAAAGCCAACTCTGATTCCCCATTACCTTCACTATTCAGCCTGGCATTCAAGGCTCTTCTCAATGAGATTTCCCTATGATGTAAGTGAAAGAAGAGAGTGAAAAAGTTGGCTTAAAACTCAACATTCAGAAAACTAAGATCATGGCATCCAGTCCCATCACTTCATGGCAAATAGATGGGGAAGCAGTAGAAACAATGGCTGACTTTATTTTTTGGGGCTCCAAAATCACTGCAGATGGTGATTGCAGCCATGAAATTAAAAGATGCTTACTCCTTGGAAGGAAAGTTGTGACCAACCTAGACAGCATATTAAAAAGCAGAGACATTACTTTGTCAATAAATGTCCGCCTAGTCCAGGCTACTGTTTTTCCAGTCATCATGTGTGGATGTGAGAGTTGGCCTATAAAGAAAGCTGAGCACAGAAGAATTGATTCTTTTGAACTGTGGTGTTGGAGAAGACTCTTGAGAGACCCTTGGGCTGCAAGGAGATCCAACCAGTCCATCCTAAGGGAGATCAGTCCTGGGTGTTCACTGGAAGGACTGATATTGTAGCTGAAACTCCAATACTTTGGCCACCTGATGCAAAGAGCTGACTCATTTGAAAATACCCTGATGCTGGGAAAGATTGAGGGTGGGAGGAGAAGGGGATGACAGAGGATGAGATGGTTGGATGGCATCACCAACTCAATGGACATGGGTTTGGGTGAACTCCAGGAGTTGGTGATGGACAGGGAGGCCTGGCGTGCTGCGGTTCATGGGGTTGCAAAGAGTCGGACACAACTGAGCGACTGAACTGAAGCCCATCTAGCCATGGCCGCTCTTCCTATACAGATGTGCACACACAGACACACACACAATTCTCCACCCATCTTGGTGTCCTCATAGCCCCAGAAAACCTCACAGTAGTTCCAACCTGGGCTCTTTGCTCAATCCTTTCCTCTACCAGGAACTCCATATTCTTCCTTTCTTCTATTTAGATCCTTCTCATTCTCTAAGACTCCCCCATCAGGGAGACTCCACCCATCACTCCAGGCTAAAGGAGTAAAGGCTAAATCCCTCCTCTTGATTTGTTTTGCTTTTTTAAAAACTGAGGTATAAGTGATGTATAATATTTGATAAGTTTCAGCTATCCAACAAAGTGATTCACAATTTTTAAAAGTTATTTTCCATTTAAAGTTATTATAAATGATTAACTATGTTCCCTGTGTTGTATAACACATCCTTGTAGCTTATTTATTTTATACATAAAAGTTTCTACCTCTTAATCCCCTACTGCTATGCGGCCCCTCCCACCTTCCCCCTCCCCACTGGTAACTGCTAGTTTGTTCTCTGTGAGTCAGCCCCTTTTTTGTCATATTCATTAGTTTGTGGTATTTTAAATTTTTAAATTTATTTATATTTAAAGGATCTTTTCCCCCAAGTTTTACTTATTTTAATTTTTTGGCCGCATCCTGCAGCATGTGGGATCTTAGTTCCCCAACAAAGGATTGAACCCACAGCCCCTGCATTGGAAGGTGGACTCTTAACCCCTGGACCAGAAAGGAAGTCCCTCTGTGGTATTTTTAAGATTCCACATATAAGCAATATCATACTGTACTTGTCATTCTCTGTCTGACTTATTTCACTTAGCAGGATACCCGCTGTGGCCCTTTGAGATTGTACAGTCATTAGGCACCACACCTACACTACTTCGGGCTTCCCTCGTAGTTCAGTTGGTAAAGAATCTGCCGGCAGTGCAGGAAACCTGGGTTCAATTCCTGGGTTGGGAAGATCCCCTGGAGCAGGAAATGGCAACCCACTCTAGTATTCTTGCCTAGAGAATCCCATGGACAGAGGAGCCTGGCAGGCTACAGTCCATGGGGTCACAAGAGTTGGACATGGCTTAGTGACTAAACCACCACCACCACCACACTACTTCATGCATCTGGGCCTCCCTTGGTAGCTGTCTTCTCTCTCCAAGCTTGTGAGCTTTGAGGGCAAGGCTGTTTTCTTCTCTCTTTCTCCCTTAGTCAGCCAGTCAGCCATTCATTCATCCAAACTCCAACCACTTCCTATCACCTCCACCATAACCCTCCCTATATCAAGCCACCATCACTTCTGGCTCAAACTAGCAGTAGTTTCCTAACAGTTTCCTGGCTTCTACCCTCATCTCCCAATAGACAATCCTCAACAAAGCACCAGAAAGCCATATTACATCTTATACCCTTAAGTCAGATCATGTCACTCCTTTGCTCAAACCCTCCAACGGTATCCCCTCTCTCTCAAGAGGAAAAGCCCAGGTCTTTACGTTGGCCTCCCAGACCTTCCCCTTCACCTCTGACGTCATCATGTACTACACTTCCTCTCAAGCTCCACCCAGCCACACTGGCTGACTTACTCCTTGCATGTGGTGAGCTCGGACCTGCTTTAAGAACACTGCTTGCCCTCTGGCTGAGGCTTTCTTCCCCAAGATTCTACATGGCTTGGTCCTCCACCAACTTATAGTCTTTGCTCAAATGTCAGTTTCCCAGTAAGTCTTCCTTGATGATCACCCAATTTTAAACTGAAAACCCTATCAAATTATCTTTTTCATAATTTACTTTGTTTATGGCTTGTCTTCTCCCAGCTAGAATACAAACTCCATGTGGGCAGGGCATTTTCCCTCTCATTTGTAACTGGATCCCCAGCATTGAAAACAATCTAGAGGGAAGAGTGGAGGAAAACACATCTACTGAGTGATTACTGTAGGTCTGCACTACAAAATGGGTAGCATTAGACTCCATAACTGGGAGACAGTTCACTGTTCTCCTCTCCTGCCTTCACCCTCAGAGCTGCCGGCCCAGGACGGGCCCACAACAGAGCTTAGGTGCTCCTGCAAGCCTGATGTATTACTTATTCTGCGAGGGTAATGATTCTTAGGCTCGCCCTCCCACCTCCCCTGGGGCTCCCAGCTTGATACATGAGGTATGGCCAAACTGAAAGCACTCTGAACCTGTCCACCCTGAAGAAGCTGCCCTCTGGAGTTCTAGCCCAGTGACTGTCACTGCCTCCTCCCCAATCACTCTGGTCACCTTGGCTCCTTTCTGCTTTGTCCCAGCAGCCATTGCCCCTCCTAGATTGTTTTGGATAACAGACTCTCTGGGGTCGCCACCATAATCCAGCACCCTTCGCCATCTCTGGCCTGGAGCACCGTGTTAACTGCCCTGATGGGTCTCCAGCCTCGAGTTTCCTGTGCAATCCACATGACACAGGGCTGAGCTTTCTCAAATGACATCTCCTCAGGCACACTGAGCATTTACTCTGTGCCAGGCCCTGCCCTAGTTAGTTCAGATACAGTCCGTGAATTCTCAGAGCAAACCTATGAGACAGTTACTGTTAGGATCCCCATTTTGCAGATGGGGAAACAGTTTAAGCAACCTACCTAAGTCACTGGTGGAGGCAGGCTGGAATGTGGCTCAGGACTGCGGGCTCCTGACTACCACTCCTGCATCTTCTGTGCCATCTGATCTCATCACTCTCCTCTTAAAACCTTTGACGCCCGCCCACCAGAGATGATGCAAGCTACCTGTTCAACTTGCTCTCGGATACTACCCTCAGCCCCGCTTTCTTGTGACCACCCCCCCCCCCGCCACTCCTTTACGTCCCTGCTGTTGTCGGTTTCTCTGGATGTCTCTGTTGCTCTTGTTCTCTTTGCCTTTGAGGCTTGCATATGCTGTTCCCTCTGCCAAAAGTGCTGTTCCCTTTTCTTCCCCTTCCCTCTTCCTGGCTAACCCACCTCCATTCTTCTGGTCCCAGCTTAGAGTCCATTTAGTCTAAGCCTTTGTTGGGGAGTCCCCCTTGGAGTTCCCAGGACACTTCAGGCTTCTCCCATGCCCACCCAGGGTGACTGCTGTCTGTTCACATGCCCATGTGATGTGAGTTCCAGGGATGAAGGAATGAATGAATGAGTCCAGGAGGGAGCAAAGTCCATAAGGGAGCAAAGTTCAGGAGGGAGCTACTGGACATAAATCCCAAAACACAACAAAATGATGCTGGAATGAGATGCAGCCATGTACTGTGGGATCTCCAAGGTGGGAGAGAGGGAGAATTCTGAGAGAGGAAGAATCAGAGGGCTGACACAGACATGGCTTCTTAGCCAGGCTGAGAAAAGGGGGATTCTAGTGAGCTAGTCTAACAGTGTCTGCTCCATTTTTTTAAACATCAGCTCCTTCTTTCTCAATCCCCATATGCACCCCCCCTTGCTCCAGGATCCATGCTGACCCTCCCCCACCACTCCGATGCTCACCTACCACCCGGAAGACCATGGAGGTGGAGTGGACGCCCCGGGCATTGGTGGCCATGCAGGTGTAGTTGCCAGCATCTTGGAAGACTACATGATCGAGTTCGAGGGTCAGAACTTTTTGGTAACGGTTGTCACGGAAGTCGGATTGTTGAGAGATTGCGAGCTGCAGCCAGAAGGAACAGAAATGCTGAGGTTGTTTAGGAATTACAAAGAGCTGGGTTCTAATTCTCAGTCTTTAAGGATTACTATCTGCTTTTCTTTGGGCTGAGCTGTGAGCCTTAGTTTCTTCAACTGCAAATTGAAACTGACACTGGCCCATGCTCCTAGGGTTGTAGTGAAAAGTAAGTGAGATGGAACATGCAAATGGCATACGACTAGGCCTGGCATGTGGAAGGCATGGGGAGGAACTGTGTTCTTAGAAGCAGCCTAATGCCATTTCCTCCTGAGAAAACCCCCCTCTTCCTCTCTCTAGAGTTGTTCTGAAGTAATCTTTACATTCCTGGGCCTCAGAGGTGGCCTTGGAACCCCTTGCAAAGTCAGAAGTGAGCTGACACATGCCTCTTGTCTACAGGCTAGGACAAAGGTCTTGCGTCAAGAGGGTGGAATACTGCCTCCTCCCTCTCTCATCACAAAGTGTAGATGCAGGAGCCTGAGACTTGCTTCTGCATCATCTACTGACCAGCAATGAGACCTTGGGTGAGTTACTCCCCTCTCTGGTCCTGAGCTATGCCCTCAGCTCCCAGTGCCAGCTTGAGGTGGGGCCTGGAGTGCCAGGAGGACAGGCAGACCCACCTGCCCCACGCCCACCCCCAGGGACTGACTTTTGTGTCTCCACGTTGAAGGAAGACGTCAAAGTTGACATCAACGTCGCTGGCTGAGCACACGATCTTGGCAGTCTCTCCTTGAATCCGCACCAGCTCTGCAGGCTCCAGTGTCAAGGTCGGAGGTCCTGGGATGACTGAGGTCAGGAGAAGGCACCCATGAGCACCCAGGCCAGAGCTGTCACTCTGCTTCCTGACATGGGCCCAAGCTCCCTTCCCAAATCCTGGGAGGCAGCCATGACACCTCAGTTTTCCCCGCAACAAGTCCCATCTTCTAAATGGACCTGGAAGAGTCCCCTTGGCTCCATCACCAGTGCCTCTCCCCAGTCACACCCTTCCCCTCTGCTCTGGACTCCCACAGCCATCTGGAAGGCCTCCCTGCTTCCTCATAGCAGCCAACGTGAGCTCCTTACAAGGAAGATTGGATCACGCTCCTCTCTTGTGCTAATGATGTTCAGCGGCTTCTCATCACTCTCAGACTAAAAGCTGCAGCCCCTCATGCCTCCCCAGACCCTGCTCCCGACCTGTAGGCACTTGCCACCCCTCACTGCTCCGCAGCCGCCATGGCCCCTCCCACCCAAGACGTGCCCTTCCTCTTCCCTGTGGGAATGCAGGATCCATGCAACAACCACACTTTGACTGGTTGTCCTCATCTTCACATCTTCAGCTCAAACATTCCTCAGAGGGGCCTCCTGTCACAGGTTAGCTGAATTAGCTTTGGGCTTCCCAGGTGGCACTAGTGGTAAAGAACCCACCTGCCAATACAGGAGACGTAAGAGACTTGGGTTCGACCCCCGGGGTCGGGAAGATCCCCTGGAGGAGGGCATGGCAACCTGCTCTAGTATTCTTGCCTGGAGAATCCCACGGATTCCCCTGACCAAATCTCTTCAGCTTGGTTTCTTGTTCACCACATTTATTTACTTCCTCTCTCATCCATCATCCCCAGTAAATGAAGGTGGTATCCCTAGCAGCTAACCCAGTGCCTAAAACATACTGGTAGTGGTTTAATTGCTCAGTTGTGTCCGACTCTTGCAACCCCGTGGACTGTAGCCTACCAGGCTCCTCTGTCCATGGGACTCTCCAGGCAAGAATACTGGAGTGAGGGGCCATTTACTTCTTCAGGGGATCTTCTTGACCAAGGAATCAAACGCAGGTCTCCAGCATTGCAGGCGGATTCTTTACCAACTGAACTATGAGGGAAGCCCTAGCTGATGAATTAACATCTGTGGCTGTTGTTGAAAGATAACCTGACTCAGTTTCTCAGGGTCAGATGTTAAGGAACTCACTCATGTCACAGAGTCAAGGCGAAACGAGGGCCCTAGAATCCCTCTGCAAGGTGGGCTGTAGGAAAAGGGCCTGCCTGGCTCCTCTGCACACAGAATGGGTTCCCTTGGCTTCCTGGACAGGTTTCGTGGGCTCAGGGCACAGGGCCTTGGGCCAGCCCTGCCACTCTGACCCTGGCCTCATTACAGGTACTTGCTTCCTGTCTCAGGCTCAGATTCTGATTCTGGGGTCCTGCTGACTCCCACCAGTCCTCCCAGAAACCAGAATCCCATCTACCAGCCCAGCAGAAATGAGGTGGGAGCAGACAGGAGAGAGACTTCACCACCACTGATGCCTCCCAGTCAGAGGCATCCCATGCGTCTGCCATCATGACACCCCATGGCGTTGCTCACGGTGCCCCCCTCTCCTGTGCTCAGCGCCCAGCACCAGGTGGGCCCTGAGTAGGAATCCAAGTCTGAAGGGGTGGGAGAGCTTCAGGACCGCCTTCCATTCCTGGAACATCCGAAGCCTGTTCCCAGCTCATGACTGTGTACCTGCTGTTTCCTCTGCTGTTTCCCCCTTCTCATAATTCACATTTCCGCTCAAATAAAATGTCACTCTCTCCACGAGCCCCCCCCCACACTCTATTCCACCACCCTGTTCAGTGCTTTTCATAGCCTATTTCATGACCTGAGACTACCTTGCCAGCTGAGTTATCAGCGTACGTGCGGTCTGCCTCCCAGCACCTGACACCTCTCGGTCTCGCTCCAGCAGGTGCCCCGTGGACGACACAGGCATGACTGGAAAGAAGAGGTGAAACGAAGCACCCACCCTTACTTCCCCTCCGGCCAGACACCAGCTCTTGGGTCCACCCTGTCCACGCACCTTTCTGAACTTTAAGCCGGATGCTGAGGGCCTTCACCATCCTGCCAGCCACCCGAACGCTGCACTCGTAGTCCTGGCTCTCAATGAACTTGGCCTTGTGGATGGTGAAGCCGTACCAGGGCGAGAAGGAGTAGTTGGTTTGGCGCAAGACAGGCCGGCCGCGCACCCGCACCAGCGAGACGCCCGCCTCCAGGGCCGGGTCGGTTAGCAGACAGGGCAGCAGCGCGTCCCTACCCTCCAACACCGTCACTTCCTCGGCTAGGACCCTCCAGGGCCGAGCAGGGTCTGGGGAGCATGGAGATACAGCGTTACAACTGCGCCCCCCTCCGCCAGGCTAACCAGTCCCTGGACATTGGTGCCAGTGAAGCTCAGAGATGTTCATTTGCTTGAGGTCACATAATACCAAGGAAGCTCAGCTGATGCTTGGGGGCTCTGAGGCCAGGTCCAGCCCCACTATTTAATGCTGTGTGATCTTGGGCAAATGACTCAACCTCTCTGAGCGTCTGGAAAATGGGGAGGAACAAGAACCTTCTCACAGGGTTGCTGTGAGGAATGAAATTAGAAGCACTGCCACAGGTCCTTGTTTGTGGCAGGTTCTCAAAAAACCTGGAGCTGGCTTATTATGATGGTTCACGTCAGGGCCCAGCCCTCTTGGGCATTCCTGGTGGGCCGTGCTGGGCTCGTCCTCTTGGGAGGGGACTCATAGTCCTCACCTTTGACGTAGAGGTGGATAGTAGCAGTGCCCGCCGAGGGGTCTCCAGGCTCCGTGCAGCGGTATGTTCCCGTGTGTATGAAGGTGGCATTGTTGGTGGTGAGGATGCTTCTGGGGGCATCAGAGTCCAGAGTCCAGTAGGGGGAAATGGGGCCATCCCACTTCACGCTGCCATTGCCCATACATCGCAAGGTCACCGCTGTGCCTGGCTCCACCACCAGCTCAGGGCCACTGGGCTCTATCACCGGGACCCCCTGACCTGGTGATGGGAAGTGGCAAACAGAAACGAGGGCTGAGGTGACACCCGTTGGCTGTACCCTGCCTCTGAGATGGGTGCTGCTCTGGAGGGTGCTGCTGGTTCTGGGGTTCAGCTATGACCTGCAGGATCACCTCGAACATGTCCCTGCCCTTCCCCGGTCACTCACTCAGGCCCTACCCCAAACCTTCTGTGATGGACTGACGTCTCTGATATCTCTGAGAGAAGGGGACTAGGGGCTTTCTCGGCCTCCCACCCAGCCACTGTCCCATGGGGGCTATCCCAGCCTCTGGCCTCAGCCTTCCTGGCCATGACTGCGTCATTCTCCCCAGGAGTGGGCTCCTTCGGCCTGATGTAATAAATGGCCTACATTCCTGCTACGAAGTCCAGCACCTAGCTCAGAGAAGGGGCTTCAAACAAGCAAAAGTGAAAGTCACTCAGGCGTGTCTGACTCTCTGCGACCCTGTAGACTATAGCCCACCAGGCTCCTCTGTCCTTGGGATTCTCCAGGCAAGGAAGAAACAAATGAATAGAATGTTTGTGGCAAAGTGCTCTGAATTGATTCACATGAGGAAGAAGAAAAAGGGGCTTCCCTGATGGTCCAGTGATTAAGACTCTGAGCTTCCACTGCAGAGGGCACGGGTTTGATTCCTGGTGGGGGAAGTTCCACATGCCACATGATATGGCCAAAAACATAAAAATGCATATACCTTTAAAAAAATATTTTAAAGAAATAAAAGAAGAAGAAAAGGGGTTCGGGATCTTAGCATAGCAGAGTTCAGAGTCTTCTGGTGTGCCTTCTCTCATCACTGGACATCTGGTCTGTAGCACAGTGGGGAGGTTCAGAGGCTCTGTGCCTCAGTTTCCCCACTTAAAAAATGGGGACCAAATTTGCTCCCATTTATTGGGATGTTGGGAGATTTAAATGCACAGAAAGCTTTAGAACATCACCTGTCACCAAATATAAATAACTCAGCAAAGGTTAGCCATTCTATTTACTATCTAGTCTACCACCAGAAGCCCACCATAACATCCCAGCCCTGCTGTGTTTACTAGGAAGACAGTCTCTTTTAAGGAAAATTTTCTTGAAGGAGAAAAGAGAACTTGAAACTCATCTCAGGCCCTCCGGGAAGAAGGCCCGTTGTCTCTGCAGTGTCAGCACTTTTCCAGGGCCTAAAATAGGGGTAAAGGAGGGAAGTGAGAGCTGATTCAAGGACTTGGAGGGGCTGCCAGGCGCCCTCCAGCCTGTGCAGGAGGAAACACATTGCTGGCACCCGGCCTAGCCCCCGTTTCCGCTCAGCCTGCAGTCCTTCTCCCAGAGAGGCTCTCACTTCTGCTTCCTGGCCACTGTCCCCTTTAGGGGAAAGACCCTCTCACCCCCTGAAACAGGCAGTACCACCTGCTGGGCACAGGCATGTCCCAGGCTGTGGGACCCAGATCTGCCACTGACCTGTGAGGTACCCCCCTACTGAGTCCAATCTATCTGTCTCAGTGATGGAGCCATGGACATCCCAACCCTGAGGGAACTAGGAAAATTCAGGGACTCTTCATCATCTTGCACAAAAGCTTTTTCTTAAAAAAAAAAAAAGTATATTTATTTATTTGGCTGCATCTGGTCTTAGTTTCAGCATGTGAGATCTTTTATTTGGCTGCATCAGGTCTTAGTTTCAGCATGTGAGATCTTTTGTTGCAGCATAAGTGCTCTAAAGTTGCGGTGTGTGGGCTTAGTTGCCATGTGGCATGTGGGATCTTAGGTCCCCAACCAGGTATTGAACCCACATCCCCTGCATTGGAGGGTGGATTCTTAACCACTGGACCACCAGGTAAGTACTGCACAAAAGCTTCTTAAATGGGCCTTTCCATCCCACTGCACCCTGCCCTCACCACAAACCCCAGAATCAGAAAGATCCTCTCTGTCAAATTATTTCAGGATGACTTAATTTATGTTTTGATTTTGTACACATCAGAGATGTGCAGGCTCTCTGCCCAAGCTTCTGATTCGCATAAAGGATGGAGTGACCAGAGAAATAGTGCGGAAACCAACACCTGGGGGTTGTAGCCAGGCTTCCCTGTGCTGCTGACCACCAGGGAGAGGGGCAAACATCATTTTGGGCAGGCTGCTGGCAAGTCCCAACAGAGCAGGTGCTGGCTTATTACTGCTGCAGCCATGCAGGGCATGGGATGGGGGTGGGGTACTGGAGGGAAGAGCTTGACTGTGGGCTCATGTCAGCCAGCCGTCACTCAGTCATGTTTGACATTTTGCGATCCCATGGACTGTAGCCCGCCAGGCTCCCCTGTCCATGGAATTTTCCAGGCAAGAACACTGGAGTTGGTTGCCACTTCCTCCTCCAGGGGATCTTCCTGACCCAGAGATCGAGCCCGAGTCTCTTGCATCTCCTGCATTGGCAGGAGGATTCTTTACCATTGGGCTATGCCAACCTGGGACTAAAACTTGGCTCTTCCCTTGCTAACTAAGTAGACTGCTTAACCTTTGACCCTCAGGCTACCCTTTCAATGAGAATAATCTGAATTTCCACCTCTGAAAGGTCCTGGGAGGATTCAAGGAGGTGATAAACAACCTTTGCCTGAGTCAGCTCTCCTGTCCTGTGTTACTGCTTCAACTACTACCCTCCTAACCTCCTCTCAGATCCTGACACTCTCACAGCTGAAGTGCTAACTTTCAAAGGTCACAGCCTACGCCTGTCATATCCCGCGGTCTCAGATTCTGTGACTTATATTCCGCTTCTGCCCCTGCTGGGTCTCACAGGCGCCTTCTCCCTCCCCCGCCCTTCCCCTGTCCTCTAACTCCAGCCTCGGCCTCCTGGAAGTGTAGTCAGAGAGGCATTATCTTATTTTGTCCTGTTGTCTCGAGTATTCATGCAGGACAGGGCTGACACCCTCAGCTTCCACTCCAGTTGCCCACTGCTGGCTTGACTGGAGAGAAGGAAAAGCTTGCTCAGGCCTTTACTCCCTGGGTAGGGGCTGGACCCCTTCTGCCCCTTCACCCCACCATCTCTCTCCCCAAACCTTCTCACCCCCTCCCACTTGCTTGGGAGACCCCCCTCATCATCAGCTGCCAGGGTGTGCCCCCACACCCCCCACCTCTCCCCCAACACACACACACACATACATACACAAACATATACACACATACACATACAAAAAATATACACACACACACACACACACAAACATACACACACACAGCATGCCAAGGTTTGGGGCACAGCCTACTCCTTGGCCCAGAGTCTTAGCAAGTTTCTTTTGGTCTCTAGGATACACTAATTCTGTCTCTTAACTTTGTCATCACTGCCCCTCACTTATCACTGGTCTACTGAAAATGTAGGCTTCCAGCTTGCAGTCCCCATTTCTTCTTTCCTTGCAGGCGAGATGCTGGACAGCCCCTCCATCCCCCATCAGTCTCCCACAGGCATTTTCTGGGCAGGAAGATAGGACAAAAGAGTGAAATAAAACCCACAAAGCTTTCTAGGATGAGGGGAGTAGTCTCTATCTTAATTGAGATGGTGGGGACACAAGCTTATATACTTGTCAAATCTCATCACAGGGACACTTAAGAATCTGTGCTTTCTACTACATGTAAATTACATCTCAACAAAAGAGGACAGACTTGCAAGCCCAGTGGAACTGATTGGGCCCAAAAAAGCCCTTCAGTGGGCCAGCTCCTCCTCAGGGACCAGACACACCTATTCCTCAGGGTCTTGCAGCCACAGGACTGTGGGAAGGCCGGAGATGCTGCTGCCTTCCTACCCCACCCACAGTCCCCATCCTTCCCTAGAGTTCCTCCAAATATGCAATAAAATTTAGGGACTTCACTGGTGATCCAATGGTGAAGACTCCACACTCCCAGTGCAGGGGGCATGGGTTTGATCTCATATGCCGCACGGAGTGGCCAAAAGAACTTAACATGTGTTTGTTGGGCCTACTGTAGATACGAGTCCAGCACACAGCTCCCAGCTTCAGTTAGGGACCCTCCTAGCAGGAGATCCTGCATCACTGATGCTGTCGGAGGGATGGGATTCAGGTGGGGTCTGCTCCATAGCTCTCTGTCCTGAGGCCCCGCAGCCTGTGATTGGGAGGATTTCAGCCTAGCAGACCCTCAACTGTCCTCCCCCGAGACAAGCTGCTAGCCCTGTACTCTCTCATCCAAAATTTACCTCTCCTGAGCCCTGGGCCAGAGAGGCTAACCTCTTACCTCTCCTTCTGACCTCTTGCCCAAGCTGCCCAAGGAAGGACCATTGCTTCTTCAGATCCCTCCAAGTCATATCCTGCCTAGTTCGCCTTGTGAGTCCCAGGCTGGCAGTGCCAGTGGAGCCATGAGGGGCTTTCTGGGCCTCTCTGCTCAGTGTAGGTCTGGACCAGCGGCACTGGCATCTCCTAGGAACTCACTGGTCATGAAGAATCTCAGGTCACACCTGAGACCGATCGAGTCAGAGTCTGCACTGTAACAAGATCCCTGGGGGATCTGTGTGCACAGTGGGGTTTGAGGAGCATTTTGACTGGTCCATCACCCCCAACAACATGCCGCTGACCATTCAGTAGGCACTAAAGAGCCCTGAGGGCATAGGGATGTGTTCAGGACACATGGACAGTCACCATCTGAGCTGGGTGAGATCCACTGCCCTAGCCAGGCTGGTTCCACCCCATTCATACCCGCTTTCCCCTCCACTGCCTTTCCGAAGCAGACACCCACACACCCGCAGTCCAGGGCTGGGAGATGAAAACACAGAGTGGGGACCCCTAGTGAGGGACAGAGGTTTAGAGAGTCCTTCCCTAGGAACCCTGTCACAACCCTCTCACCCCCACCACCCCCCAAGGCTCTGATTCTGCTCTTACCATGCCAAGCTGTGGCCACCAGCAGGATCAGCAGGGTCCGTGGGCCCATGGCCTCAGCAGGAAAGCGGCAGGCTGATGTAGGGCTTGCGGATGGTCAGAGAACAGGATTCTCGGACACTAGCTCTGACGGGACCAGACCCGCTAGACATGTGTTCCTCTCCACTGGCACTGTCTGTTTGTCTTGTTTTCCTCTTCCTTCTTCTCCTTGGGCTGATCCCCCTCTTCCTCTTTTAGCTAGGCAAGGCAACCACAGAGTTTGGAAATCTTGGTTAAAGAAAAAAAAAACAAAATAAAGACATGACCCCCAGGGGGCGGGGTTGGAGTCAGGGTAGGACTGGCTAAGTTTGGGACCCTTCCGAAACCACCTCTAAGGGGCCCTGAGAGAAGAGACATGCCCAATGTTAGACAGGCAGTTGATTGTACACACGGGGGTCTCCAGAGCGGCAGGGGGCTCTTGCTAAGTGGAAAAGGAAGTTAGGTTGGTCTGGACAAGCCTGATAACAGATAGTATCAAGAAGCTTCCATTTATAGGACACTCACCAGCCAAACCTTTACATACCACTGTCACCTTTTGTTCCCACAAAAATTTTATACAGTAGGTACTGTTATCATTCCCATTTTACAATAGGAAAATTGAGGTTCAGAGAGATCAAACACTGTAAACTTGCCCAAGGTCACACAGCTACCAAATGGAGGTGGAATTTGGATGTAGACAATCTGAAGAGGATAAGATTGAATAGCATCATTGACTCGATGGATATAAATTCGAGCAAACTTCGGGAGATAGTAAAGGACAGGAAAGCCTGGCGTGCTGCAGTCCATGAGGTCCCAAAGAGCTGGACATGACTTAGCAACTCAACAACAACAACCTGAGTATAGAACTGCCTTCTTCTGGACTAATTTTTACAAAAGGTTAAACTGTGCTGCTGTACTTCTAAGAAAATTAGCATTCCTCTGCCCCCTTTCCTGGATGCAATTGCATTTACCACTTTTAGTTGATTTTTTCAGTGTTTTTATTTCTATTTAAATGGCTATAAAATTAATTCTAGAATCTAAAAAAAAGAAAAAAGAGCTACTCAATAAACATTGATCCAGGAAAATGATTAATCTTTCCATAGACTTAGAAATGTAAGTATTACAAATACATTTCTGTCTTAGCAAAGTGTTTTGAACCTTTACAAATCATGAAAACAAACTAAAAGATGTAGAAACTCTGACCAGACCTATAAATATCAAAGAGATTCAATCAATCAATAAAAACCACCCAACAAAGAAAAGCACTTAAAGAATTAACCCTGATTTGTCTCAGACTCATTCAAAAAAATAGAAGATGACTGGGCAATTCACAACTCATTCTATGAGGGCTGCAGTAACTGATTTCATCAACAAATAAGGATATCATAAGAAAACTATAGATGAATTTCTCTTATGAACCTAACTGCAAACATACTCAACCAAATTCCAGCAAACCAAACCTGACAGCATATTAAAATGATTATACACCATGATCAACTGGGATTTATCCAACAAATGAAGAGGTGGCTCAGTACAAGAAAATTGACATCACAATGATAGAATGAGAGGATTTCACATGATTATCTCAACTGACACAGAAAAAAGCCTTTAACAAAATCTAACATGCTTTCATGATAAAACCCCCAAAGACTAGAAATGAGAACAAACATCCTAAAAATTATTAAAAACATATATTAAAAAACCCACGGCTAACTCAAAGATAAAAGACTGAAAGCTTCCCTTCCCCCACACCTCCCACCACAACTTTACATCAGCAACAAGGCAAAGACAACATCCCTCACTATTTCTATTCAACATTATACTGGAGGTCTGAGTTAGAACAATCACAAAGAAAAATAAAATGCATCCAAATTAAAAGAAGTAAAACTTTCTCTCTTCACAGATGACATAAGCCTATATACAGAAAATCCTCCTCTGGCCATTGGATTTTCCAGGCAAGAATACTGGAGTGGGTTGCCATTTCCTCCTCCAGAGGATCTTCCTGACCCAGGGATGGAATCTGCATCTCCTGTGTCTCCTGTATTGCAGGCGGATTCTTGACCACTGAGCCACCAGGGAAGTTTTGACTTTGATTACACCACTACAAAATGTGCTTTTGCTTTCATCTAGTTAAAAAAAAAATTCCATGTCCTTATTGATGTTCAGTAAAGAATGTATATGACTAATTTAAAGTGATAAAGTGATAAATCCATAGTTCTTCAGGCACTCTAACAGATCTAATTTTTGAGTCTATTTGTGACTTCCACCGTATAACCGTAAGGGATTTGATTTAGGTCATACCTGAATGGTCTAGTTGTTTTCCCTACTTTCTTCAATTTAAATCTGAATTTTGTAATAAGGAGTTCATGATCTGAGCCACAGTCAGCTCCCAGTCTTGTTTTGGAGCTTCTCCATCTTTGGCTGCAAAGAATGTAGTCAATCTGATTTTGATATTGGCCATCTGGTGATGTACATGCATAGTCTTCCCTTGGGTTGTTGAAAGAGGGTGCTATGACCAGTGCATTCTCTTGGCAAAACTGTTAACCTTTGCCCTGCTTCATTTTGTATTCTAAGGCCAAACTTGCCTATTATTCCACGTATCTCTTGACTTCCTACTTTTGCATTCCAGTCCCCTATAATGAAAAGGACATCTTTTTTGGGTGTTAGTTCTAGAAGGTGTTGTAGGTCCTCATAGAACTGTTCAACTTCAGCTTCTTCAGCATTACTGGTCAGGGCATAAACTTGGATTACTGTGATATTGAATGGTTTGCCTTGGAAACAAACAGAGATCATTCTGTCGTTTTTGAGATCACATCCAAGTACTGCATTTCAGACTCTTTTGTTGACTATGATGACTACTCCATTTCTTCTAAGGGATTCTTGCCCACAGTAGTAGATAAAATGGTCATCTGAATTAAATTTGCCCATTCTGGTCCATTTTAGTTGACTGACTCCTAAAATGTCCATGTTCACTCTTGCCATCTCCTGTTTGACCACTTCCAATTTACCTTGATTCATGGACCTAACATTCCAGGTTCCTATGCAATATTGTTCTTTACAGCATCGGACTTCCATCACCAGTCACATCCACAACTGGGCATTGTTTTTGCTTTGGCTCAGCCTCTTCATTCTTTCTGGAGTTATTTTTCCCATTGATCTCTGGTAGCATATTGAGCACCTACCGACCTGGGGAGTTCATTTCTCAGTGTTATATCTTTTTGTTTTTTCATACTGTTAATGCGGTTCTCAAGGCAAGAATACTGAAGTGTTTTGCATTTCCTTCACCAGTGAACTATGTTTTGTCAGAACTCTCCACCATGACCCGTCCATCTTGGGTGGCCCTACACAGCAAGGCTCATAGTTTCATTGAGTTAGAAAAGGCTGTGGTCTATGTGATCAGTTTGGTTAGTTTTTCTGTAATTGTAGTTTCCATTCTGTCTGCCCTCTGATGGTTAAGGTTTTCCAGGTTAAGTAAATATTTCAATCAGGAGGGTAAATATTTTAAAATTGGGAGTGTGGATATTTCTTATTTTTGGAGTATCTTTTTTAATAAATTGAATTCCAGAGTGGTGGTTTTATGAGGAGTGTGTAATGAATTTCTGGGCTATAAGTCTTAAACATACAACCTAACCTAAAAGGCAAAGGACATTTCCAGTTTCTCTTAGTGATACAGCATGGCGAAATACATAGAATAGATGTAGATATCTATAGAATAAACTTGAGAGTTCAGAAAGAAACCTTCACTTCCACAGTCAACTGATTTTCAACAAGGATGCCAAAACCATTCAATGTTGAAAAAGTCTTTTCAACAACTGGTGTTAAGAGAACTGGATATCCACAATATAGAAGACTACATTCTTCTGTATGTAGTCAGACTCTGACTTCACATTACTTAACTCAATATGGATCAAAGAAAAAATATAAAGACCTAAAGTATAAAACTCTTAGAAGAAAGCATCAGGGTAATTATTCATAACCTGGAATTGAAAATGTTTTCATAGCTATGCCACCAAAGCCATAAGCAACCAAAGGGGGGGAAAAATAGATAAACTGAAAACTTCATAAAAAATAAGCATTTTGGTGGCTGGAGCTTAGAGTGTACTCTATAAGGTCACTGAGTGGGCAAAGGCGGGTACATCCAAGTACAATTCAGGAACCCCAGCCTCAGAATCACAGGGGGACCTGTGAAACTGTAGATTCCAGGGCCAGGGCCTGCTGAATTAGGGGTGGGGATTGCACAGGAAACAGGCTCTCTTGGGAATTTGGATGCTTACTTATGTTGGCCCCACTGCCCTCAAAAGCCCACGGATGGAGATAGAGGAAACCTGAGAATCTCTAAGATACAGGAGAAGTTTGTGTCTGGTCTCAGGATGGGATACAGCTGTTACAAAGTCCCTCACCCGGGCTGGTGGGGACCCTCTTGGTGGAGGATGTAGAGGTGGAAAAGATGGCTAATCAGGGGGATGGAGGCCACAGTGGCCCTGAGGGGCGGCCTAGGCCACCTCAGCAGAACCTGTCCCTGTCCAGGCGATTAGAGGAAGCTGTTTGCCCTGTTATTTAGTTTATCTGCCCATTCTTTCCATCTCCTTAGATATATAAAGTTTATAGATACATCTGTGTTTTAGTGAAGTGTTTCAAACCTTTACTAATGATATATACCAACAAAAACAGTCAAGAACTAGAAATTCTGACCAGACCTATAAATGACAAAGACATTGAATCAATCATCAAATACCTCACAACAAGGAAAAACCCAGGACCTGATACTAATAGTTTCACTGCTGAATTCTACCAAACATTTAAAGAATTAACCCTGATTTGTCTCAAACTCATTTAAAAATTACAAGATGACTGAGCACGTCTCAAGTCATTCTATGAGGACAGCATTACCTTGACACCATCAATAGACAAGGACCTCATGGGAAAACTACAGACCTATATCCCTTATAAACATAAGTGCAAACATACTCAACCAGATACTAGCAAACCAAGACTGACAGCCTGTTAAAATAAATAACACCATTACCAGTGAGA